TTCCACCAACCTATTTCGACGGTGTGGAAAAAGCCGGGAAAGTGAAGTGGAAACACTAGGAGTTAAAAAAAAAACACGCCGTAATTTAAATTCTTTGAAATTCTCGCAAGGAAAAACAAAAAAGCACCCACAAACGTGTTGAGCAAGGTTCTAAGGCGGGTCCGAGAAAGTTTTAAATCCACAGTCGGCGCCGGGATGGGAGTCCCGCAGTCCAGGGACGCCCCAAATGCCTAGACGACACGGGGACTCCTTGAGAGACACCAACCACACCACTACCGCCCAGGCTGGGAGGGTGCAGGGCCACTGAGGCCGTCCGCCAGGGATGGAGGGAGCCTTGGTACCGGGACAAGTCTTCACTCCCCAGCGCGGAGCTGACCCTTTACACACTTTGGCCTGACGTGTCCTAGACGATGTGAAGCCGGTTCTCTCTTTGTTCATCTTAGTCCCCGCGACGACAGCAGGAGGGGATAACCGAGCCTGTCCCGGGAGTTCCAGGCCCCAGCCCTGGATCCTCAGACCTCAGACCTCGCGGCTGCCGGAGTGGGGCCGGCACGGTCGCGGAGGAGTGCGCGGCCCGAGGCTAAGCTCCTCACCCGGGCCTCCCTCCCGACCAGGTGTGGTTCCTGACGGAGTGGTGAGCTCCTCGGGAGCCCCAAATCCTGTGGCTTCTTTTAAATCTCCCTTCTAATTAGAAGCAGCGGTGGAATCACTTGAGTGATTTTATCTGTCATGGGAAAGCAAACCCCAAGCCCAAACCTCAGCTGCCCATCCCAGAACCACCAACGCCCCCGTTCTCCCTTTAAAAAGTTATTAGTGGAAAAGATAAAGAGCTGGGAAGCCATAGAGGAGTGGGGGAGGGGCTCACCTTAAATAGAAGTGTAAGTGTATGAGTGTGCAAGTGTGTGTGTGCGTGTGTCTGCGGTGGGAGGAGACTAGACCTAGAAGCCAGAAATGAAACAATCGCGAACGTTTTCACCTACTGAGAAACACTTTGATCTGGGATCGGACGCTTGAAGCAGCCCTGGGGCTCGCAGATTCGGATCCGCGAGGGCCGGGGGTGTCCTGAACCTCGTGGGGCCGGTGAGGAGGCCCGGACCGGGGTCTGGCCCTACAGCTTGCAGCCAGGTGCGCGGGACCTATCCGGTCGGGCCCAATCTCCGGGCCTTGCTCTCTTCTTCCACCCCACCCCCACCCCCCCCCCTTCCCGGATCCTTCCCCCCTCGGGGTGGAGACTCTCCTAGCCCCAAAGTTCCGAGGGGGGAGGAGAGTCGACGGAAGAGCGCGTAGATGCCCCCATGCTTGAGTGTGAAAACACACCCACTCACGCTCGCATCGCGCCCTGCACACCCCAGCAGGCAGTCTGCCTCGGTTCCCCGGTCAGGCACTGACCGGGAAAGCGGGTTGGGGCTGTTGGGAAAAGCAGGAGCTGATGGCGAGATTGCCGCGGCTATAAATCCATCACTTCCCAGGTCAGCTCTGCGAGGCGCTGGGACTAGAGCTGGCGGAGTGAATTCCTGGGCTAGCGCGCATGCGTCGGCAGGTAGCAACCCAGCTCTTTATGACCAGGTGAGATGTTGGTGAGCAGGTAAAAAAGGAGGATTTGCCTAAGCGATTCCAGGGAGCGGGCCCGGCCGAGCCCTCCAGCCCATGCCCGGCGGGGACCCGTCGCCAGGAGCGCCGAGCCGCGATGTCCATACTTGCCAAAATGGGGGACTGGCAGGTACGGGGGTTTGCCTTGGCTGGGGTTGAAGTGGGCGGGGGTGGAGCGGGGGAGGGGGCCGGCAGGGGGGGAGGCGGAGAGGAAGAGCCTTGGCCCAGGGCAGGGAGAGTCGTAAGTGAGGCGCGCCTGGCAGCGCCCAGGAGTGTTCCCAGGAGAGAAAGAGGGCAGAAAAAAACACGCGCTGCCGGCGGCCCGGAGCTGGGGAAAGTCCGGCGCACGCTCCACAGGTGGCCCCGGGGGGTCACTTGTGGTTTGCGCTAGAGCTTTTCATGCCCCCCCCCCCAGCAGAAACAAGGGTGGATGACTAATTCGGGAGGGGGAAGGGCGCCGGGCGGGGGTTGCAGTGCGTGGTAAGGAAGGTTCCCGGCTTGGTCCGCCCTCCGTTCTTGCCCTAGACCCCAGGGCTACGCATGTGGTGGGGGTTCTGGTGCACCTGTCTTCCTGCCTCCCAAGTTGGGGGGACCTAGTGGGGGGTGGAGAATGCAGAGGGGTCCGGATGGACGGGTCGCGCCGGCGAGAATGTTCTTTGGGGAATTACTTAAGAGTTTGCACAAAGTTTAGCCTCTCAGTCGGAGTCGTGAAGCCCGTTTGCGCCGCTTGGGCTACGGATTGGGGTGACTGGAGGAGGAGTGGATGGTGGGGGATAAGGCAGGTCCAAAATTCTTCCAAACGAACGCCTGCCAAACTCGGCCCTACTAGGCCGCCCGTATTACAAGGCCAACTGGGCCCTGGACTTTGGGGTCCCTGAGCTCCGGACCCGACTTAGGCCACAGGAGCATTCTTGTAGCTCTCGGCTTCTAACTTCCAGACATTTCCCCTACGGAAACCCGGGCAGCTCTGGCCAGGTTGGTGAGGGTGGCAGCCTCTCTCCTCTGTGGCCAATTTCATAATGGGAGCTGCGGGGCCCTCTCCCCGCCAACCCCCAGCCCCCAACCCCCAACCCCCAACCCGGGGCCCAGAGAGGCCTGGTTAGGGCGAGATTCTGGGTGCCTAGAAGCCTGTAGGGCAATTCGAACAGAACACCCTGAACTTCCAGAGAAAAGTCGAGGTCCTGCTCTTTCTGGGGCGAGTTCCTTTTCTTGTTTCAGATTTGTGCCATGAGAAGTAAAGGTCAGAGAAGTCCCACCTTTACTACATTCCCTGGAGTTGGGGGAAGGAATTTTCTTTCTTTCCTTGTATTTATAATTTTTATTAACACTGAGCTTCTTTCTGCCTCTCCCCCCAAGTTAAACCTCACTGAAATGCAATTTCAGCCCCAACGTTAGACTGCCTTTGGGGTTTAAGGGTGCAAATACCCACACCAAACGCAAACGTTAGAAAGCCACACCTTTTTCTCCCTTGCCCCCGTGGGCCTCAGGACCCTGCTTCGTTCTCTTCTCTGGAGGGTGTAGACTCCGGGAAGTCTTTGGCTGAGGGCTTTGCAGGTTTCTCCGCAAGCAAGCCGAGTGGACTTCACAGCAGACCGCCTCGGGTCTGAGAAAGTGCCAGTAGCACAGCCTCGGTGGAGGTCCGAGCTTCCAAAGGGCCTCACGTTCCGAAGCGGTGAGATCCTGGCCTCAAGGAGAAGAGAGTGAGCCCTGGGCCTAGCTCCTGCGGGCTCACAGTTTGGCAAGAGGTGGGAAGCCTGCCTCTGGGGTGGGGCCCATGGATTTGGGGCCTGGAGGGGTTGGATCCTTCAGGCTGTTGGGCTCTTGGGTCCCACTGGGTGGTGACAACCAGAGAAAATAGCCATTCAGGCCCCTTGCTGTCTCTTTGTTCCTTGGGTGTCTCCGTCTCACACTGGTACTCATTTTTCCCTCCAAGGCCCTCTCCACGCCCCCACTCCAGGCCTGGACCCCCGACCTCTATCCCCAGGCCTGGCGCTACTATCCCGGGGCGCTGGTGAGGACGGAGCATTGACATGCAATGAAGCGACTTGTCGTGGTAATGACGTTCACACAAACGCGGCTCGGCTGGCTCCAGGGGCTCCTGGGGCGCGGGCCTGGGCCTTTCTTCAACGCCCGTAACTCGGGCGGTGGCGCTGAGCCCGCAGGCCCCAATCTGCACCTCAAAGGCACCCTCGGCGGGAATACAACAACAGTGTAGCAGCCCCCGCGGGTGCGGAGCCAGAGATCTGCGGGGCACGGGTCAGCCGGGGTGGGGGTGGGGGGCAGTGGAGAAGATAAAGGGCCTTGAATGCCTTCCCCAGCCAACAAACTGAAAAAGCGAAACTTGAAGTTCCCTTAAGCACACTGTGGCGACGGCAGAGGGTGTAAAAATCCCATGCTCCCAGGCCTAGGATTTGGCCTACAGATCACGCTCGGCGGCTGCGGCTGCCGTTAGGAAGGTGGAAATGCTCGCGGCGGCCCATCGCCCGACTTCTAGGGACTTCTAGGCCCCGCGTTGCGCGGAGGGCCCCGGGGCAGCCCCTTAGGGTGCGTGGTGCCAGCCCTGGACGTCACCGTTTCCCCCGGTGGAGTGGACTGTGTACAGCCACAGAACCGTGCTAGGTGGCGGAAAGGAGCGTGGGGAGCGCCCCGGCTGTCCGGGAAATGTCCCGAGCTCTAAATCCCCCTTCAAGCTCAAGTCTTCTTCCCAAGTTTTGGGAGGGGCCTCTGGCCTACTCTGCCTAGCTTGAGGAATTTGCGGGGGTCACCCAGAAGGAGAATTGCCCTTTTACAGGTTTGGGGGGAAGGGGGTTCTCCCTCTTCTCGTCTCCCTTCCACCTGTTAAGAAACGCTCGAATTGTTAACAGCCTCCGCCCTTCTGTAAGGACACCCCGTGGAAACCCGGGAGGCCTGGAAGTTTGCAAGAAACAGGCCTAGATGGAACCAGAAGTCATTACTAGAGCAATTCGGAGGCAGACCTACTACTGCTTAGTGAGTTTGCAGTATTCAAGAGCGAGAAAGACACACAAAAACTTTTTCATGGAGGACAGATGAGGAATTAATTACTCTGTATTTCGAAGGATTACATCACGTCTTTCTTGTTAGTTTCTCCCTTAAAATAATTTACTAAAACAGCAGAGAGAGAAAATAATAATAATAATGATGATAATAATAATAATAATAATAATAATAAGCCCCGGTGGGGCGAGCAGGTCCCTGTGTGGAGCCGGAGAGCCCAGACTGGCCAACCTGAACTCGGGGGTGGCCCCGGGGCCTCCGGGTTCCGCGTCAGCCGGGCACTGCGCCGCGAGCGCGCCCGCTTTAGTAACATCACCAAATCATGAAGGAACTCTCCCTGCTTTAATTAAAAAGGGGGATCTTGGGAAAACTGGAGCAGATTAGCACAGCGAAGAGTTGGTTCCCAGCGATTTATTTTGATGCATGAATGACACGGCGCACACATGTCGGTATATCGGCTCAACTCCAGAAGCGACTGTGAGACTCCATAGGAGTTCTGTATTTTGTCCACATCGCACCTAGGAAACCCTTAGCCCAAACACCACGTTGAATTATCAGTCAGCTCTAGCTTCATACAAACGAGAGGAAAATCATTTAACCCCTGGAGCTGTCAACTAACCTCTTCAGGGTACAATTTTTATTTTACACGCGGCAATTAAAGGATCGCAAACCCCAGCCGAGCCACTGGAGCCGTTTGGCAAAATCTTCAACTTGGGGGTGGGGGTGGGGGGGAGCGCAAAGCCAATAAAATTCCCAAGGCGCTGGGGCCCGAGGTGGAGGCTGCCGCGAGCGGAGGCGATCTCTTGTTGGGCAAAAATCCTGGAGTGACTTTGCCGGTCTTGGTTTGGTGATTATATTTAATTGCGAAAGGGATAATAATTTCTAATAAAATTGGACGGGGCCGAAAGGACCGCGCGGTTAGCGGTGGTAGGGGTGAGGGAGAGGTGCTGAAAGCTGGGCCCCAGGCGCAGCCGCTCGGACCCTGCACAGTGCAGGTTTTTTGTTGTTGTTGTTGCGGAGGGCATCTCCCTGGAGGAGGAGACGGAGAGGAAGGGGAGTGGGGTGGAATGGGGCAGCGGCGGGGGCTGGGGGGTGACTGGGGCAGGGGCGCGCGGCTGGTCTCCGGGGAGATTCCGTCCGCTCACAGGCAGGCGTGCGCTCTAGGAGCAAGTTCGCGGCTTGGAGAGGCCTTTATACCTGGGTCGGAGCGGCCGGCCGCAGATTGCGGTGCTGGCGAGCAATTGGACTATTGTTGATATGCTAATGAGGCGATTAGGCTGTTGGTAAAGAGCTGGAAAAGGGAAAAGTTTCTACCATTAGAGGGAGATCTCCGAGCGCACACGGGAGCTCTTTCCCTTCTCGCCTCCTCCTCCTCACCCTCCTCCTCCTCGCCCTCCTCCTCCTCCTTTTTGCCCTCCTCCTCCTCCTCGCCCTCCTCCTCCTCCTCGCCCTCCTCCTCCTCCTCCTCCTCCTCCTCCTCGCCCTCCTCCTCCTCCTCCTGCGCTCACCGCCGGCAGCCGGCACTTTGCGCTTACCCAGAGAGTAGCTCCACTTGGGTGCGAGGCGGAGAAGGGGGCAAATCCGTTCACGCCGATCCATGAAAATGCTTTGGAAACTGACGGATAATATCAAGTACGAGGACTGCGAGGTAAGCGCGGCGCCGGGTATCTTTGCGGCCGCAGGCTCGGAGCGCTACCTTCCCGCTCCTCCTCCTCTCCCCGCAGCCAGATGCGAAATGCGGGTGGGACAAACTTTCCCCAGCGCGGCGCCCGCCTCTCCGATTCGCCCGAAGAACGCAAGGGAGAAGCTGGAGAGGAAGGATGTGGACGCTCGCTGCCTTCTTTCATTTCCCTCCTTCGAAGCTCGTGTCCCACTTTACCCCCCCCCTTTTTTTTTTCTGACCAGTTTTGGGTCTGCCTAAGAGTGGAGCGAAGACACGAGCTTGGGTTTTTGAAGCAGTTGCTGGCAATTAGGCACGCGTCTGTGCACCCGGCGTGTGTCTCCAGCGAGATCCTGGGGGCTCGGGTCACCAGGAAGAGAAAACCCCTTTTCCTCTTTAACTTCCTCTCCGATCTTTAATATTCCTTATTTTATTGATTCATTTTTTACTTCCTCCCTATCTCCCCCCCCCCCTTTCTAAAAAGGCTCCTTTCTGTTTGGAGAAGGGGCCCGCACACTTCTCCCTGAGCTGGGTTGCACCTCCCGGTTATGGGATTCAGTTTGGAAGCACTCCTCTCCCACGTTGCTTCGGGGCTCGCTCCAGGTATCTCTGTTACTGAAGAAGTTGTAAGCAGCTTCTCCCTCTGTGGGACACTCGGAGAGCATCCCTGGGGTGGCGGTGGGGAGGCTGCGCGGTGCGGAGCCGGCCGGCCGCGGGGTCCTCCAGCTGCGGCCCCTGCAGCCGCCCGGCGCTCGGCGGCGTGACCGTGGGAATCCTGGCGGGGCTGCACGGGGCCTCTGGTGCGGGGAGCCCGCGGGGCCGATAGAGCGCGCCTCATTGGAGCCCGTTTTACAAGCCAGGGTCTCCGGAGCTCGGCTTCTTGCGGCAGCCGGGGAAGCCCCAGCACCGCCGCTCCGCCCGCGGGAGGCGCTGGGAACCCGCCTGGCTGCGGCGGCCGTGAACTCCTTCGCAACCCCCGCTGAAATACGCGGAGGGGTCACGGGAGGGGGAGGAGGGCCGCGGCCGATGATTACTTAAATAGGTGGTAGTCCCTGCCTTTGCTGCGCTTTGTATTCTCTTTTCTTTTCTGCTCTTTTCTTTGACATTTGGAGCTGGAAATGTCTGGCGCAGAGGTCTGTGCGGGCGCAGCAGCGTGGGTCTTGTCTTCACTTGAAATCAGAACCCGGGTTGAGGTGAACGATGTGTCACCCGTTCCCTTCCCCCTCTCCTTTCCGTCGGCTATTTTAAATCTTTCTCCTTTCCCGGGCCCTCCCTTCACCCCACGGGGCACGAGGTGACATCCCACGGGGGCCGGCGCTTCTCTGGGGGCTCCTGCCGTGCGCGGTGCCGGGCTCAGCCACCCCCCGGCAGGGCAGCCCCCCGCGTGCCCCGCGGGGGGTGGGGGGGGGGGGGTGGGGGTGGCTCTGCGAACTGGTCCGAGTGCAACTGAGCCCCTCAGTCGAGAGCGAATTGTCCCCGCCAGGGCTGCGAGCCCGAGGCTCGGGCATTTCACCCTCGCGGAGGCCGAGCCCTAGGCGGGCGGGGTCCGAACCTCTGCGCGGCGCTGGGCGCCTGCGACACTCAGGTGGGAGGCGAAGAACTTGCTCCCTCTGAGAGGGATCCTGTGGGGGCGCGTGTGAATGTGTGTAAGCGAGGCCAAAAAGAGAGAGAGGAGAACAGAGTGAGGGCTGTTTCAACAACTTTGCGGTGGGCGAGCGCCGGAGCAGGGATTTCGGGTTTCCGAGCCGGCTCGGGGCTGTCTAATTATGTCGGGGCTCTGCAGGGACACGCAGGAGGCGAGGTGCCGCTTGTTCTGACAACCCAGCGGGCGGACTGGCAGCGGCGGCAGCCGGGCCGCGCTGGGAGAGAGCGAGCCGTGTCATCCGGGCGGGGGTGGGGGGTGGGGGGTGGGGGGGCGTCGGGCGGGAGTGGCCCAGCCAGTCGGACGGGTTTGCGCCGGGAGCCGGGAGCCGGTGCCAGCGGCGCCCGGGCTGGGCCGCCTAGCGTCTCTGCGCGCCCCGGGCCGCGTCCCGGCTCCCCCGCCCCGAGCCCCTGCCCCGGAGAGCCGAGGGCGGGGCGGCAGCTGCCGCAGAGCGGAGCGGCCCGGGCCGTCCGAGGGGAGCTC